CGCGGCTTATGCCGCTGGCCTTGCGGTCGCCGCTGGAGCGCCGCGTCGCCGACTAGCTGCACTCGTTCACGTTCCGCACCAGCCTGTTCCGCGCGCGGCGCCCGGAGAAGCCGCAGCTGCCGGCGGGCGATGCCGACGCGCCGCGCCGCGACGCCCCGGCCTACTCGGTCCGCTTCCACCCCGACCACCTCCGCGTCATGGCCGGCGACGTGTACGGCATGCGCGACGAGGTCATGGCCCGCGACGAGCGCTACCGCCCCAGCCCTAACGGCGTGACCTGGGTCACCACGTACCAGCTCGACGGCGCCCCCCTGCTGGGCAGGGACGAAGGCGAGGTCGCGCGCGTGTTGGACGGCAGGAGGGACGCGCAGGTGCGCGACCCGGCCGTCGAGTGGATCGACTTTGTCCCGGAGGACGCCGCCACGCCGCAGCCGGAGGAGACGCTGCTCACGGACTACTTCCCCCACTTCCACGCCGCCGAGCTCGAGGAACACCTGCCGTGGAAGGTCCGCGACGCACAGGGCGACAACAGCACGGCGTATGTGTCCTCGTTCACCTGCTTCGAGGCCGTGCTGCACATCTACCTGTACCAGGAGATGCTCATGGGCGGCGGCGTGGGGAACATCGACCACCGCTTTCCCAAGGACAAGAAGGCGCGCATCGCCGTCATCGGCGCCGGGCCGTCGGGCATCCTGTTCGCGTCGCAGCACCTAGTGAAGAACGGGTACGACAACTTTGTGATCCTCGAGGCGTCGGACCGGTTTGGCGGCAAAACGCGGACCGTCCACCGCGAGGCGCCCGCCGAGCCCGGCAGGAACGTGCCGTGCGAGCTCGGTACGTGCTACCTGTCGCTGGGCTACGAGCCCATGTTCCACCTGTTCGAGCAGTACGACGCCGGGCAGGTGGTGGCGCTGGACAAGGACACCAACCAGTTCAGGTCCATCATCGACCTGGACGTGGCCAAGACGCAGGAGGAACGCGAGAATGGGGTCGAGTACGGCGACTGGACGCTGCGCAAGAACGGGAGGTTCAAGCTGTGGGAGCAGCTGGAGATGTACGTGGCCGGTATTCGGTACCTCGTGGTGCACTACGCCACCATGGGCATGACGATGAACGACTGCATGCCGGTGGAGCCGCCCACGGAGCTCAACGTGCTGGAGAACCTGCAGCGGCTGCTCAAGGAGGCGATCGAGCAGTCGGACGAGGCCGACGAGAAGGAGGTGCCTGCCAAGGACCTGCTGGGCGTGCTTAAGAAGGAGAAGCGCGAGGAGGACAGCACGCCGCTCAAGGCACGCGGGCTGTTCGACTTGATGGACGACTTTGGGCAGGACATGGATGATGTCAAGGCGATGGTGTCGGTGGACGGGCTGAAAAAGGCGTGCCGCAACGTGCTGAATACGACGTTTGGGCAGTTTCTGGACGACAACGACATGGACGAGCTGCGGTCGGTGTTCACATACGGGTACCAGGTGCAGGGCTACGGCACGCTCGACGTGATCCCGGCGTACTACGGGATGGTGTGGATGACGCCGGCCGTGCTGACCGGCAACATTCGGCAGCTGTTCAACGCGGACGAGGCGGCTTCGCAGAGGGGCACCGTGAATGTGGCCAGCAAGGGATGGCTCACCCTGTGGGAGAAGATGGTGGAGAGGGACTTGAAGGATAAGATCGTGTACAACGTGGCCATCAGCAGCGTGGACCGCGTGATGGACTAGTGGGGCGGCCCATTTTAGATAAGTATGGTCGCGCGAGATGCTTACTTGTACGTTTAGTTAGGGCCTTGCATTCTTTGACGGTAATGATGAACGCTAATGATGAACAACAACAAGCTCGAGTGCAAGTTAGGTAAGGTAAGGAATCAATAATGAATCAATGATAAAGAAACGCGTTTCTTTATGATACGATGCGTATCGAACACTCTTTTTGAGCTCTCAGAGCGTCTCCACCGGTGTCGCCCAAATCAGATCAGATAGGGTCCATATTATTTTGGAATGGAACGTCGCTCCGGCGGCACCTTTCCCCATGTCGTATCTTACACGTGTACATAGCTCCACCGGTACTACAGTTTCGCATCATGTTGGCGGCAAGCCAATTGTTTGTGGGAAATGAGGATCCAGATGCAGATCATGTCAGGAGAATCGCGACTCAGATTATTGCTTTGGATTGGACATGCCAGTTGGAGCGGTTCATATTGATATGGATCCAAATAACCCGTTACTGTACAGGACCAAAATCCTGTGCTCCAAATTCTCGGGGTCCAATCCAAGTCCAAAACATGGATCGCAACTTCTACCGGTACTTAACACCGCCGTCGCTCTCCTCCCACAGTAAACACGACCAAGGTCTTGAGTCTCTCCTATGATACAATGCCGGTGTGGTGCCATCACTCTCAAAATTTTGTCCAAAATTTTGTCCAAATATTGAATTGGGACCTTATCATCAGCATTGGTGGAGACGCTCTGATACTGTACCTGTATGACGGCCACGCATCGTCATATCTGCCTGCGCCTGTTTCCAATCCACACTCTCCCTGTGTGAACAGGAGACCGATGACTCCTCGTTTACTCGTCCTCGCTCGTTGGTTATAAGTCTGTTCCCTGCGGGACAGACTGTCCTGTGTCCCGCACTCGCGCCAAAACCCGTCACGCAAGCCCGCCGCGCCCGTCACACCGCCGCGAGCGAGACAGCCACGCCGCCGTCCTCCTCCACCACCTTGACGACACCGACGACGTCCCTCGGGCACCCGTCGTCCCGCCGCCCCGGCACGACGGCCACCCGCAGCTCGCGCCGCGCGCGCTCGCCCCTGACGCGT